TTCAAAATACCATTAATTTACACTCAATATATGTAAATGGGTTTTTATTTGATCTTATTTATGGAAACTCCTCAGTTGTATCATTAGCTGCTGCAGAAATGCAAACTTGTTGCTTTTGTTTTTCTGGGTGTTATTCTTTTCTGCCTTGTGATATTTAACAAAGGTGTTTTGTTTAACCAACATTCAATATTTCTGTACAACTGGTCATTCTTATGTTATCATATATGTACCGGTTCCAAGATAAGCACAAGCTAGAGTTATTAATATAGTTTCAGAGGTTTAGTCCATTATCACTATTCCAAAACACTGTAGAATACAGGAATACTTGGTGGTGGAGTAAGAGCTGAGAATTCTACATCTTGATCCACAGGCAACAGAAGGTGAAATTAGACACTGGGTGTGGCTTGAGCATTTATGAGACCACAAACCCACCCCCACAGTGACACACTTCATCCAACAAAGTCATACCTACTTCATCAAAGTGACACTACCTAATATCTCCACTCCTTATGAACTTATGGGGGCCAATTACATCCAAACAGCCACAGTAAACATATTGTATTCATTTATATGTAACTATATTAACACTAAAACAATACTATACAAAAGAGCATTATGTTTCATCTTTAGAAGCCATGTTTGTGGATATGTATTCATGCACATGTGTACATTCCCAAATATATAACCACAACCTGCTCAGTCTATAAAATGTTAGTGTTATTTATATGTTCTCAGGGTTAGTCACTTGATATTCTATAATCTGGAGTATTTTTCTTGGGGAAATATATATATGCCATCTTTTGTTCAGTTTTTTTGACTATCATATTAATGAGACTTCATGAGTATAGTTTCTCTGACATTTCTAGGAGACAATCTCACAACAAATATCTTGTTCATCTTATTTTTAAAACATTTTCATCTCCCCTTACTTTATGATATCTGAGATGTAGGATAAGGAGTGTCACAACAGATGTATGTGCTGAGACTTGACACTACTTGTTTTCTTGATCTTTGAATTTTTATTGACTATGTTTTATGTATTGGTTTCTATTTGTTGCAAAGAGACTGAAGTATGAAACCTACATTATCTGTGACTATAAGGACAAATATTTAGAATGTAGCTAGGAATTATCCCTGTTTGGAAAACTGGGAGTGTAAGTTCCTTTCCAACTTCCTTGACCTCATTAACTAGGCCCATACAGTTTTCACCAGAAAGAAAAATTCTTGAGGTTAAGTATAATTAGACTGCTTTCAGTTCCTTCCAATGTAGGCATGTCAGTACTGTGTCCTTTGGTATATCATGCTATAATGTATCCAAGATTTAGTTCATAACAATCAAGGCTTGGAAAGAATTTTCACTGATTCCCTTCCTTGGAAGCTTGCGTAGATCCCCCTGCTATCATAAATACTATTTGTCAAGAAGGACACTCTCAGGTCAGATCGAGCTTAAGTTCTGAAGATTGTAAGTTCAAAGTCATAATGCCTTAAGCCATAGGGATTCCACTCCAAGTTCTAGGTGGGAATGAAGGGCAATGGTCAAAACTTTCATTATTTTGGTGAATCTCTTGAAAAACACTAAACAACATAGAAAGGGATTTCTCAAGACTTGTGTTGGGTTTTATATTAGATAGTGTATAACTATTTGGGAAAGTGCTGTCGGTTCAGATAAGGTATTTTCTTAAACTACATATGTATTATTAATTAGTTAATAATATTATACTGCATTGTTTTAATAGCAATGACAGCTCATTTCCAGTTAATTAATTGCACACATTTCAATTAATCTAAACAAACACAAGTCTGTATTATTTTCCCTGCAATTACAATATTTCTTTGATTTAGAAATAGAGCATAACTCTAAAAATCTAAAACTCTAGAAATTAAAACAGCAGAGAAAGAGTTGAAAGGAAAAATCAGGAACTACCTATATGATATTTTTTTGGAAGTTTTCTCTGGTTTTGGTAGCTTCAACTGAAATAATATAATAATGTGAGCGAAATCCACATAAACAGTCAGGGACTGAATCAAAGAAACACTTATCATAGTCACACAGCAAGTTCTCCGAAGGGAAAATTCTGAGCAGGTTCAGCTTTACTTCTCACAGCTAGTTCAGCTCCATCTACCACGCTACATGTTGCACAGCCTCATAACTTACCCTCCCTAGGCCATTGAGCACAAGGCAAGTTGATGTCCTGCTACTCCAACATTCCAATTCAAGAATAATATATTTCTTATAATAATAATAATTTAATTATCCTTATTAAAAATAATAAGAATAATAATTCCTTACAATAGAAATCCACATTAGACTTCCATATTTCAACTGATGATCAAAAAATTCAGATGATCATGTTACATAATCTGTCTTTGGTAGGGCAAGGGATTATGTGGAAACATTTGTTTAATAATTTGAAGTTTAAATTTTATTCATATCCATTTTACTATTATATTAAAATTAAAATATGCATAAGCACTAATCCTAATTCTAAACTCAAGAAGACATATAAAATTTGTCCATCAGTATAATATAATTTAAAATTGTTTCTTTTTTATTTTTTTGAACTTTCTATTCATTTTATATACCTACCATAATAAAACTCACCCCCCATACACTCCTAAGAAAGTGTAAGGCCTCCCCTGGAGCGTCAACAAAGCCTGGTGCATCAAGTTGAGTGAGGACCAATCCCCTCTGTTATCCGTTCCACCAACCAAAGTTGCCAGTATTATGGCAGAATGCTTAGTCACTCCAGGTGCTGACACTTCTGAGATCCATGGCCCATGGCCACACACGCACCATCAAGCATTTCAGCAACTTACCACCAAGGGTACTCAAGTCCTATTTGATCTAAGTGCAGGCTGGTCATGTGATCTATGACTGCAACTTCTAAGTAATCCCCTGTGTACATGTGCTAGATGGCCTTTAAAAGCTGGACTTGCCTGCTCCACACTCTCTTCCTGTACCAAGTTTCAGACAAAACTGAGTACTCCCTTCTTACTCCTCCCTTCTCTGTTAATTAACTCTAAATGTGAGTTTTTTGTATATATTGTGATTCGTCCTCACTCTCAGTAATTTCACTATCTGCCCTGCATCAAGGCTGAAAAAGGCATCCCACCATAAGGAATGGGTCCCAAAAAGTCAGCTCATAAACCAGGGATAGATCCTGTTCCCACTGTCAGGGGTCCCACAAACCTACCCAAACCATACAGCTTTTACTCACCGCTCAGAGGGCCTCTTTCAATCCCATCCAAACTCAACAACTGTTGGTCTAGCGTTGGTGAGCTGCCATGAACTCAAGCAACTGTCTCTGTGAGTTTCTCCATCACGACCTTGAAACCCCTTGTTCACATAACCACACTCCCTCTCATTGACTGGCCTCTAGGAGCCCTCCCTAGGAAATTGGATGAAACTAGGTAAGAACATCCTGAGTGAGGTAATCTCAACCCCTAAAGACACACACGGTATGTACTCACTCATAAGTGGATGCTAGATTTAAAGCGAAAGTAACAGTGTACGGCCCCAGAGAATCTACCTGACTAGGAGGACACTAAGAGGGACTCACGGAACTCCCTGGGAAGAGAAATAGAGATTTCCTGGGCAAACTGGGGATAGGGAGTATTAGAGGGGAAGGGATGGGTGCTGAGAATATGAGGGAACCAGCATTGTTGAGTTGGGGGGAGGGACAGAAAAGAAAAGCAATTAAAGATATGTCTTGACAGAGGGAGTCATTTTGAGGTTAGGGAGAAACCTGCTGCTAGTGAAATTCCCAGAAATCCACAAGTATGACCTCTGCTATATGGAGAGGGTGCCTGAACTAGCCTTCTCTAATGAGATGGGTGCCTACCCTAACTGATGTCATTAGAATCTACATTCAGTAACTGATGGAAGCAGAGGCAGAGATCAACAGTCAATATAATTTATAATAGACAGTATTAGAAATTAGTATTAACAATGAACTTATTTTGTTAAAGAAATGATAAAGTTATACACATAGCAGTAGATTTTTATTAATGTGTGTCCACAATATGAAATTCCACAATTCTAATCTAAACTATGGTTTGAGAGCAAAGAAACTTTATTTTTAAATTTTAAAGAATTTGAATTGTATTTTCAGTTATGTCTTTTATTTGTCTATTTATTGTATACCCTGGCTTCAGCCTCCCACACCATCACCCCTCTCACTTCATCTCCCCCACTCCACCTCCCACACCCAAATCCCCTCCTCTTTTGTCTCCATTCAGGAATGTACTCATACAAAAGTGGATCTTAGGTATTAAATAAAGAATAATTATGCTGCAATGCATACATCCAGAGAGAGTAAGTAACAAAGAGAGTTCATGGGGGTTCACCAAGGGCTTCTTAGTCTGACTGTCGGCATGAGGTTGATATTAAGCATAAAAAAGAAATTTGCCAAATAGAGAAAGGAGAACTTTTCAAAAACTTGTTTGGAAGAGGCCATGCAAACAGTAAAGTCTTAAAATCAAGATGATTACTGAACAGGGACACATCATGCCTAATGGGCAGATGGAAGGTAAACAGTTTGGAAGTTGCTGCACTCATAAAAGTGTCTATATTTGCATTTCATGCAATAAAACTGATGGTCAGTTTTAGAGAGTGCCTTGGGAAGTGACTGATTTACAAATGGAAGCAAAAGTAATTATTATATAAGCAAATGTTTTTTCTAACAGCTTTGAGGAGTGTGACCCTGTTATTTCTTTGGAAAAAAAAAGAGTGATTATATGTTAGTTTCATTTTTTTCTATAAATGATCTTTATATGCATTAGATTTATGCCTGACTCCAAAGAAGAAAATCAGCTGGAGACATGATTCTTTCCCATCTTTGTGCTTTGAAGTACCTCTTGATGCTTTCGTTTACATCTCAGAATTGTCAGTGATGTTTACCACCCAACACTTTATATTATAGTGTGAGACAAGCATACTCAACAGAAAGAACATTGGAGAAGTCTGATTTATGTAATAAAGTTGATGTTTTGTTTATCAGGTGACAGAAACCCGGACGGGTCCTCTTGGCTGCAGTAACTATGACAACCTAGATTCTGTCAGCTCTGTTCTGGTTCAGAGTCCTGAGAATAAAATTCAGTTGCAAGGTATGTAGGTAAAATTTTAATAATTATTTATTAGCCTAGATGATATACTAAACAGTTATCATCCCTTTTGTATTTTTGAAAAATAAGTCATTTGTCACTGGTGAGATGATCCAAAGGCACTTGGTGCTTTTATAGAGAACTTGAGCTGAGTTTCTACATGCTTATCACTCTCTGTAACTATTGATCGGGAGTCTCTGAAACTCTGTCCTTCTTGGCACCTGACCTCTTTTGCACATAATTGTACGCAGACTTACACATTTATATGTGATTAAAAATAATAATAACTCCTATAAAAGAAAAACATGGTGTAAATGTCTTAGGTATTTAAAGTTATTGACAGAGTTAATGCATCAATTGTAAAATATCTTAATAGTCTAGAAAAAATGAAGAAATTTCAATATATTTTTCTTTACAAATTAAGTAATACAACTAATAATTAAATCTTACATTGAGAGTAGTGTGTGTGTGTGTGTGTGTGTGTGTGTGTGTGTGTGTGATGATATTTTTTGTCTTTCCACAATTTTTTAGATAGGTAGTTTAGTAGATGGGTACATACAGATGTGCGTGTCGGTTATAGGTATAAGGGCAAGAGTATTTTTGATTTGCACTATGTTTCTAAGCAGGAGTGAACTTTCAATTCAAATGGATTGGTTTTTGTCATTGGAATTCTGATATGTCCTTTAATAAAACAGGTACAGACTTAGTTTTTCTGTGAATGCCATCTTATACACTTTTACTATGATTGAAGAGAAGCTACATCCAAAGTAGAATTTTATTTGAAAACCACAACCAAAGCATCAAAATTAATTTTAAAAAAAAAGCACTGTTAAGGAACAACAACAACAAAACCTTCAGAATGAAACTTATCATGGCTTACATGTATTTGTAAAAAAAAAATACTTATTATTATCCATAGTCATAGTAAATTTACTTCAAATACTTTAAATATTTTTCTGTCAGCAGTATCACATATTAGGGCTGCAGAATGAGAAGCACTTGCTACACTTTCAGGACACCCAGGTGCAGTTCCCAGCACCTACATGGGCAGTTTACAGTTGATACTTATGTACACACGCATGCACACATACAGATATGACATATATAAAATAGATTATTAGTGTTGTTATTTGATATGTAAGCATCACATATCAAATAAATGACTCTAAATAAACAGATAAAAATAATCAAAAGAAACTTAAGGCTAGGAAATGAAATTTATGTAAAAATATCTAAATAAAACATAAAAAGAAACTCGGTAAGTTTACAATTGTTTTAAAAAATCATTCATAATATTTATAATAAACTTAATTTTCCCAAATTACTTATGAGTAGTTTCTTAAAGGAGACTATACTGGAAATATTTCTAGTTTAAATATTTTCATTCTAAAGTCATTGTATTATGTAATTATGTATTATTAATATAAATATAATTAAGCTTATAATATGTTGCAAGGAGGGCCCGCTTATTCATCCTGGCTACCCAGAACTGAAATAATCACACAGAAACTATATCAGCTAAAATACTGCTTGGCCCATTAGCTATAGCTTCTTATTGGCTAACTCTTATATTAATTTAAGCCATTTCTGTTAATCTGTATATCACCACGAGGTCATGGCCTACCAGCAGAGTTTCAGCAGGTCTTCTTCTGGCCGCGGCTCCATGGCATCCCTGATTCTGCTTCTCTTTTTCTCAGCATTCAATTCAGTTCTCCCAGCCTACCTAAGTTCTGCTTTATCAACAGGGCAGGGCAGTTTCTTTGTTCATTAATGGCAATCACAGTACACAGAGGGGACTCTGACATCAATAATATATTAATAAATGCACTTTAAATTTCTTGATAAAATTTACATTTACAAGTAGTTTTAGTAATGAAGCTTGAATACAATTAATAAATATGCAGTAATAGGATTAAATATTCAGGGATCATGGAATAAGATTTTGAGTTCAGGGACAAATTTTTGTATATGTATATATTTTGTATATGTATATATTTGATGTTCACTTGAACTCTTCATCTCTTTTGTAGGCAGGTCCCAATGCTCATTTTTATATTCATATTTTAAAATGTTGTTACCTATACCATATTTACATTTCTTCTGCTCCACTCCTTCCCAGCACTCCCTTTGAAACATGCTGACCTTTTCACTAATTATTATTTCTATATATTTGTATAAGTGCATAACTCTATATACACAACCTGCTGGGTTAATGCAATGTTTTATATATATATATATATATATATATATATATATATATATATATACATACATACATGTTTAGGGATGACTGCTTGGAACTATACATGTAGCAATTGATGGCTTCTGCTGAAGATTGATTCTTTCTCTTTCAATCGCCACAGATTTTAACTCTTCTCATCTAGCAGACTTTTGAGTTTTTCTCCTTCCATGTTGGCATTCCAGTGTTACACTATTCAGGTTTTGTTTAGGCAAACTTTATTGTGGAGATTTTATTTGTTCAGAATTTCTATAATTAAACAGGAAACTCTATCAGCAGACTTCCTGATCCTCTGGCTCTTGCCATTCACCATTGTACCTCAGGTCAGTTTTCTCTTCATTTTGACCAGTTGTGACTTTCTCTAATCATGTCCATCTACTGCAAAAACAAGTTTCTTCGAAGACTTGCGAAAACTACACTTATCTGTGGTCATAATGATAGACATTCAGAATGTAATAGAGTTATACTGTCTTTTTAGGAATACAGAGATAATAGATTCTTCTCTCAGACATGGTGTAGCTGTATAGGTTTACAGTACTATGTATGAGTTCTTTATCCTTGAGAAGGCAGTAAGCTCAGGAGCTATTGGTTGTAAATGGCTGTACTCAACCTTGTGGATCTCTTGCCTTTATAGTAATTGGTGTGGATTTCAGACATTGCAGATAGGTGGGAGTGTCAATGTGGGCGTTTCTCTCCTTGCAGTTAACAATATTGTTTTCTGCAAATATGTATTAGCTGCTGTCGTCTGATATGTTTTATAGAGACAAAGTATACCATGTTTCTCTATACACTCTTCTTCTTCAAAAAAAAAAAAACAGCACCAGAGTACTCTCATTGGCTAAATATCATTTAAATTCAGTTGTGTTATATCGACTTCTTTCTCATATAGAAAGCCTATGAATAGAGACTGCAAACTATTTTTCTTAATCAGCCTTCCTATATTCCATGTGTGCTGAAATAACACTATGTGAAATATTTTAACTCTCATTGACTTACGTGTGATTTTTGTCAATGATCATCATTTGACATGAAAAATTAACTCCATGATGTTGAAAGTTCTTCATCTGTCACTTAAATGGTCAAATGTTGTCTTTAGTGAACTGTTTTGTTGCTTTGATACGGCTAATAAAATTAATGACCCAATTAGCATTGTCTCATAAATTACAAGGATCAATACACAGTAGTTGTTAATTTATATTCTATTACCTAACTACAGCAATTTTATTTTAATAATTATACTGATAATAATAGGAGAGTATCATGTCAACCATTTTCACATTCTTAGTGTATCAAGCAATGGTATTTTAAATAAACCAACTAATAAATATTTCTATTTAAATTTAAATTGAGAAATTGAAAAACTAATCTAAATAATCAAGCATATAGAATACACATACTGACGAATATATATTATTTTTAAAAGATACAAGGATATGAATGCACTTGTCAATGTATTTGTGAAATTTATTTTTCCCTGAATATTAATACTTGATTTTCATTAACTCAGGCTCATAGATAAAATCAAGGACAAAGCAATGGGTTGATTCTGTTACAATAGAAATGCAAATATTGTCAAATTTAGTAAATACTAAAGAACTATTTAGTGTTGACACAGTTTTCCATATATTATAATTTACTTTTACTATTTTCTTCATTCTTGATTTTCTCCTTTATATGTATGTACACATGGTGTCTATGATCTCACGTACGTTCATTCATATGTATATTGGTACACATATGTCTTAATGTGTGTGCATATGTGGGGGCTTGCTGGTGGGGACATTTATATTGACCATTTTACTTATTAGCCATTGTCTTTAGCCCTCTCTCCCTCTTTTCCTTTCTCTTTCTTTCTTTCTTTCTTTCTTTCTTTCTTTCTTTCTTTCTTTCTTTCTTGTTTCCTCCTTTCCTTCCTTCCTTCCTTCCTTCATTGCTTTCTTTCTTCATTTTTCTTTCTTTCCAAATTGAATCTCAGAATGGATTCCATCCTGTTAAATAAATTAGGATGACCTAGAATTTCTTATCTTCCATTTTCCAGCCTCTGCCCCTGAGAGGGTGGAGCAAATTTCTGGGGTGACAAATTTAAGCAGAGATGAAACTTTCTCTTTTTTTTTTGTAGTAGATGGACATGATTAGAGAAAGTCACATTTATTTTTGTCTTGACAACAAGACCCCAAATAATCACTCAGAAGCTTATATTAATTAAAAAAATACTTAACCTATAGCTCAGGATTATTAGAAGCTAGCTCTTACAACTCTTAACCCAATTCTATTAGTCTGTATTTTGACACATGACTTGTAGCTTCACCTGTTCTCTAGCATCTTGCTTCCCTTACAGGTGGCTTCTGTTTCTCTGACTCCACCCTTCCTCCTTTCTGTATTTTCCATTTAACTTTCCCTCCTAGCCTTATTTTGCCTTTCTAGAAGTCAAATCAGTTTTATTATGAACTAATGAGAGTAACATATATTCTCATCACACAGAAGGATTATCCCACAGAAGACAACCATGTGCCATCATGAGAGACTTGGTTAGAGTATTTCACTGTTTTTTGTTTGTTTGTTTTATTTTGTTTTTTGCTTTGTTTTAGTTTTTCAATTCTTTTCTCATACATTACATCCTGACTGCAGTTTCCCCTCTCTCTCCAATTTCCAGGTCACCCCACATCTCTTCTCATTCAGATCCAGTCCTCCTTTTTTTCTTTAGAAAGGAGCTGACCTCCCAGATATATAAACTGAACCTGTCACAACAATAAAACTAGCCAAAAACCTTCAGATCAAAGCTGAACAAGGCAAGCCAGTAGGAGGAAAAAGGAAAAGCATGCAAGAGGCAGGGACAATCCCTCCCCACATTGTTAAAGGTTCCACATGAACACCAAGCCACACAAACTACATGCAGAGAACCTAGCTCAAATATATCCAAGGTCCATATTTGTCACTTCAGCCTCTGAGACTCTATAAACCCTGATTAGATTCTGTAAAAAAATAGTCTCTTAGTGTCCTTGATCCTTCTGGATCCTACAAGCAGTTCTCCCTCTCTTCTGCAGGTTTCCCCAGACTCCACCTAGTTTTGGCTATGTGTGGATATAAAACTGTATTTTTCACAAAATATATTAAATGAAAAATTATTAAATTATTAAACTTAAAAATGATTAAAATAATGATATTAAAATATATTAAATTTCAAATATTTCTTTTAAAATCTATTTCAAATAGCACTTTCCTAAATAACTAGTGAATATCAAGCTGGCATCTAAGAAAATAATGAAATATATCAGTAGGGATGACTTACACAAGCAAAGAAATGGACTGTGAATTAACTACATCAACCCATCTGCTCCTCTATGCAGTTTTGTTCTTGCTCCTAAACAATAGAATCATATTGGGTATGCATTCTTGGTGTACTGTGTTGTGAACTGCCTTACTAACCTTGCCAAACTCGTAAAACACAGGTATTATTATAATATTCATTTGTGCAGACTGTTAGTATAAAAATGAAATGAAAGAATTGAAATCAAGAGGCAGAAAACAGAGAGCTTGTGTCTTCAAATATGTAGGTTTAGTGTAAGTACTGTAAATCACAATTAAATGTTCTAATTAATTACATCAAAGGCCCACAGTATTGTTATAAAAGGTGTAAATTACTAATGATTGCCATAAATTCTTTGATTCTGTATTTATGCAGTCTTAGTGTATTGAAATTATACAAGCAGATGATTTTCCTAATGATAGTTTTTAATAGCGGTAAACTTGTGTTTTAAAAGACTAGCATTTACTTTCTCTATTCGGAGTTGTAAGCAAGTGCTTGCTTCACTGTGGTGTTTCAAACTTGATCACTTCATTTGTCTTTCAAGGGCTTCAAGTTCTCCTTCCCGACTATCTTCAGGAACGTTTTGTGCAGGCAGCATTGAGCTACATTGCTTGTAATTCAGAGGGGGAGTTTATCTGCAAGGATAATGACTGCTGGTGTCATTGTGGTCCAAAATTTCCAGAATGCAACTGTCCCTCCATGGACATTCAAGCCATGGAAGAGAATCTTCTTAGAATAACCGAAACATGGAAAACCTACAACAGTGACTTTGAAGATTCAGGTAAGATAGAGATTTTACTAACACAATCTCAGTATTTTAAAGAACTTCGTTCCCCTGTTGAATGTATACTTCTTTTCCTAGTTGGAAAGGTTTTTGTTTTTCTTAATCATTAAAGTAGATATTTATATTGATCTTGTTATTGCTCACTTAGTGTTTTATAATGGTACTCGTATTTTGTATGTTGCTTATGTGCTATTGTTGGAGTGCAACCTACTTTTGGGTTGAAGCATTAGTCAGTTACTAAGAAAATGTTATTGTCCTGATTTGCATTTTTCTGATAAATATATCAGAGAATTTATTAAAACAACTCTGAGATTACATCTTACACCCATCAGAAGTGCCAAGATCAAAAACACTAATGAAAGCTTATGCTACAGAGAATGTGGGGTAAGAGGAACCCTCTCCATTACTGGTAGGAGTGCAAACTTGCAAAGCTGCTTTGGAAATACTGTATGGCAATTTCTCAGAATATTAGGAAACAATCTACTTCAAGACCTAGAAATATCACTTTTGAGTATTTACACAAAGAAAATCAATTCATATCACAAGGACATGTGGTCAGCTATATTCATAGCAACATTATTTGTAATAGTCAGAATTTGAAAACAAACTAGATTCCTTATACTGAAGAATGGATAAAGAAAATATGATACATTTATACCATGGAGTACTACTCAGTGGTAAAAAAAATAATAAAAGCATTTTCAAATTTGCAAGCAAACGGATAGGTTTAGAAAAAGCCATCACTCAAGAGTGATGTAACACAGACCAAGAAAGACAAATCTTATGTATACTCACTCATAAGAGACTTTTAGACATAAAACAAAGAAAAAAAGCCACAACCCCAGAGAACCTAGAAAACAAAGAGTCCCCTAGGAGACACACATGGATCTAAATAATAAGGAGAAATAGACAAGATCCCCTGAATAAATTGGGAATGTGGAGGGCACAGATGTTGTGGAAAAAGTCTCTTTTTACACATGGGAGAAGGTAGAAAGAAAGAGAGAAAGAGTAGGAAGAGAAGAAAAAAATTATCGTGCAATAACAATAAAAATGGATGGGGATAGAGACAGAGACCCACATTGGCGCACTGGAGTGAGCTCCCAAGGTCCAAAAGAGGAGCAGAAAGAGGGAGAACAAGAGCAAGGAAGTCAGGACCGTGAGGCGTGCGTCCACCCACTGAGACAATGGATCTAATCGGAGCTCACCAAGACCAGCTGGACTGGGACTGATAGAGCATGTGATCAAACCGGACTCTCTGAACGTGGCTGACAAAGAGGGCTAACTGAGAAGTCAAGGACAATGGCACTGGGTTTTGATTGTACAGCATGGACTGGTCTTGTGGGAGCCTAGTCTCTTTGGATGCTCACCTTCCTAGACCTGGAGGGAGGGGAGTGGATCTCAGACTTCCCACAGGGCAGGAAATCCTGACTACTCTTAGGACTGGAGAGAGAGGGGGAGAAGGAGTGGCGGGAGTGGGAGGGTATTGGGAGGAGGGGAGGAGGTGGAATTTTTTTAATAAATAAATAAATTTTTTTCAACTTCAAACATCAGATTATCATGCGGTGGTCTTGAGGTTTCTCTGCAAATCTCTGGAAGCCCTTGGGTTTCAATGGTCAGGAAAATATTTCCAGCATGTTTTGTGAGACTTCAAATTCACATAACTATCATGTGTATGCACTTTAATTGACCACCTGTTGTAATCATATTTAAAACCATTTTATGTTAATGGTTGAATCATTTTCTCTTATTTTTGAATATTTAGGAAGGCCTGTATATAATATTTTCAGGCCATTTCTTAGTAATTACATAGTCCATAATTATGTAAATCAGCTTTAGAAATATACATTTTAAAATTGCAAAAATTACACTATGCAAAATTAAGATATTCCTCAAAGTAAAGCATTATTTTAAATACCATGTATGATAATGTATACTAAAGCAAGCCATACAAAAATTTAATGAATAGTGAATGGTATAATTCAGTTAAAATGTGTTAGGCATAACTAACAAATAAGCAAAGGCAAGCATGACATTACACACAAACACATACTCACACATAGTATTGTAGAGAGTCAATACATATAAGTTTATTTTTTTAGCAAAATAATAAATGACGGTGAAGCAGACACTGGACATTCAATTCATAGTGATAGTTGTTTGTTGCGATAAAGATTCAGTTAATGACAAAAATGTATTTGAGAGTTACTGTAGTTTTGACTATAGTAATAACATTATGTTGTGTAATTGAAAAAATGTTATGGTCCAATTAGGTAACTATGATTGTATTGAGAATACAAAGCAGGCAGTAAGTCTTTATATTATTTTCCTAAGTTGAATCCAGATATAAAAAATGATGATTAGATAGGCAAATTAATAAAGTCTGGATTATTTAAATTAAAACTTATGCAATGGGATTCTGAAATACCAAGTAGAAGAGTTGAAATTAAATATAGTGTAGGACGCTCTCAGAAGGAGAAGAATGAAGCAAAGCATGTTTACAACTTTGAGTCTGACTTTAGGGATTTTAAAATAATTTACTATTATAGTGGTTATTGAAAATAGAGAATGTTAAGTAATGGAATGGTGGCTTATTGATGATGAAAATAGTTTCTAAAACTTGTTTGACAAATACAAAATTTTACTTGTACTTTCTTAAGTTACCAAAATGCACAGCATTAAGAGATGACAACCCATAGATGTCAATTAGCTTCACATACACACTCACAGAAACACACACACAAACATGAGAGAGAGAGAGAGAGAGAGAGACAGACAGACAGACAGACAGACAGACAGACAAACAGACGGAGACACACAGAGAGTGTGTATGTGTATTTCTAAGCTCTCTTTTCTGTTCAACAGGCCATTTTTTCTACTTTGTTAATTTGTAGCATGAGGACCTTATGGAGTCCTGTGTGTGATTTCTCTTTGGGATTTGTCTGCTGTGGGGTACCGGGCGGGACGGAAACCCCAACAAGCCGGCCCCCTCATGTTACATATGGTGCCAACGTGTGGACAACTGTATCCACATAAAGCCTGAGACAGCTTGGGAAGTAGTTCTAGAACAAAAAAACAGCTTTATGCATGGTTTCTTGGTAGCAGCAATTTCTCGGGTCTGCTCTGCTTGCTAGAGGCAAGCAAGTGTTCTCATCTAAGAGAGGCTTCCTGACTCAGCTTTAGCTGCAAAACCCTGCAGCTCTTTTAAGAGGTCCTGCCACAAAATACTTAAATGGTGGTGATGAAAAGCTGAATGCATGCTTTTGGGGTTTTCAGCCATAGCAGAAAAAAAGCTGCGCTGTTTTAAAATGCCAGCTTTCTGGGCCGTCCTGCCAGGGCAAACTCTGACTCTTTCAGGCAGGCAGTCCGACTGAGTGTGGTCTGTGAGCAGAATGTTCCAGCTTGCTTGCTGGCAGGGACCTTGAAATGACATAGAGTTGTGGCAATAAAAATGGCTGCAGTCAGTACTTCAGCCATGAGGCTGGAAAGTTAAGGAATGGGCTAATTCCAGCCGTAAAAGCCACACTTTTAGTCCTCTCCTTAAAGACTCATGTGGTCATAAAAAGAGAGATATACAGTAAAGAGAGATTCAAAGACGAAGAAAACCTCTAAGTGGTTTACAGTGTGTTAAAAATATATGCAGGCTAAAAGGTTAAAGTCATTAAAAATAAAAAAAAAAGAAAGGGAGATATAGGGTGTGGTGGTACACACCTTTAATCCCAATGCCTGGGAGGCAGAGGCATATTGACCTCTGTGACTTCAAGGGGCAGAGGTAGAGATTGACCTCTGTGACTTCAAGGTGTGGTAGCACAGGCCTTTAATCCCAATGTCTGGGAGGCAGAGACAGATCTCTGTGAGTTCAAGGTGTGGTAGCAAACACCTTTAATCCCAGCACTGGGGAGGCAGAGACAGAGGGATCTCTGTGAGTTCAAGGACAGCCTGGTCTACAGAGCTATTCCAGGACAAAGATATATACAGAGAACCTGTCTCAAAAAGCCAAAAGTAAAAGTAAAAATAAAAGAAATAGAGGTTAAAGTAAAGCTGCATAAAGATGGAAAATACACAGAGAATCTTGATACTGTAGGCCATTATGCTCTCTTTGAATTGTTTGAGTGCTGAGGAAGGAGCAACAGCTGCAAAAAGACTTGTTTATAAATGCTGCTGAACTAACCCAAGATAGGTATTTTGAAAATACCTTGGCTTCAAAATTGAAGTCAAAAGGTATGCTACTTTGGAGAAGAGATTTTGCTTTTGTTTCCACAGAAAATGAGAGGCTCTGGATTTATTCAGAGTTAAGAAAAATCATCTTTGATCAAGGGAGACCTCCTGAGAAATTTCTGGTAGGAACAGATGGCCTGGATGCCTGAATTCTACATCCAGAACAGATTCAAGACTGCTGCCTGAGATGATCAAAACTCACAGGATACTCCAGTCAGGACTTGATTATAATTCTAAATTTTCTTTAGGTCCCCATAAGATTATCAGCGCCCCCAACCAGCAGGAAGTAGCCTGAAATACTACGCCCACATTCCCAACAAATGGACTATGGGTATTTTCCTTTGTTTAAAAAAAAAAGGGAAATGGTGTGGGAGAACTGTCTGTATTCTGTCAATCATATTTTAATAAAACGCTGATTGGCCAGGCAGGCAGTATAGGTGGGAAAGCCAGACTGGAAGTAGGGGTGGAGCAAAGAGACTGGGAGTATTCTGGGACACAGGAAGCTCTCTCTCTACTCCTGCGCAGACCACCGAAGAGGCAGCATGTAACTTGTCCAGCTGAGAAAGGTACAGAGCCATGTGGCTAATGTAGATAAGGATAATGGGGTAACATAAGTTATAAGAGATAACAAGAAGCCTGACCTAATGGGCCAATCAGTTTATAACCTTATGATGTCCTATGTGTGATTTCTCTTTGGGATTTGCTGGCTGTGGGGTACCGGGCAGGATGGAAACCCCAACAAGCCGGCCCCCTCATGTTACATTAATTCTGTGTTTTATTGC